CAAAGCTGTGTGTGTTTTCATTGTATGTTTGTATGCGTTAAAGCTTATCATTTTGCATTTACATTGCACTAGTGTGTGTGTGTGTGTGTGTGTGGGGGGGGGGGGGGGGGGGGGCTATATCAGCGTGTTACTGGCATGCAGTGATGGATCGCAGCAGTTCCCTGTTTACCTAGCCTCATGATTTCCTGTGCGTGCATGTAACAAGTGGAGTTTGGCAGGATTAATGAGCACACAGCTTGCTGAATGGGTGTTTGGCTCCACGAAGCACTCCATCATGGCCTGATGCTGCCACCATGTTCCTCACAAATACACACACACACACACACACACACACACACACACACACACACACACACACACACACACACACACACACACACACACACACACACACACACACACACACACACACACACACACAGGCACCGTCATGTACTCTTCTACTCGTCATTTACCCTTGCTTTTAATTACACATGCTTCCCCAAGTTGAACTAAAAAGCAGCTCCCTCGATGCTAAACCGTTTTAAAACCCAGACTGTGGTTAAGTATTTGCTCCTGAGATCCACAGAAGAAACGAACAACCTTAAAAGTTAGATTTCTAAATGTGTTCATTTTTTTATTCTTTTTCTTTATTCACAATAACAAAATTACTTAATGAAATATTTCGGTTTGATGCACAAAACCACCCTGATAATGGCCTGTGTGCTTGCAATTTTTTATTTTCAATTTTGATCATTTTCTGTTGACCAATTTAGGATTTTGTATTGCTTCTCACAAACAAAGGTCCAATAAATTATTGCAACCTACCAATCTCATAACGGTATTTAAGTTTTAGAGTAAAAAATGTTAGAAAAGTTTTTTTAAAGTGTTTCAAAAACATGTGAATTTATACAAAAAAATCAGCATCTCTCTGTGGAATATTGAATTACAATGATGTGCCAATAGTATGACAAGTCTCACAGATAAACAAGCTGTCGGTGTTTTCACGTACGCCACTCACTAATGTGTTAAAAACTGGAACATTTTGGTCACTGCTGCATGTTTGTAACTGACCAGAATCTCTAGTTTGGAAATAAAACTCCACTATCATCTAATGCTGCTCCAGTCTCCTGTTAATACATACATAACACAGTTAACTTTTGAACTAGATTACTAGTATGGTTACCAAAACTAGCTGTTAACTCAGCTTTTCAGTAGAACCGTGGCTGAGAGGGTTGTGGCACTTCTGTATAACTCTGTGGTGTGACGTTCTTTAGTTATGTTGACCTCAAGAACGACTTAGACCCTGTACACATGTAGCCAGATATCCCTCAAAACAGATATTTTTCTACCTTTTGGCCTGTCATTTGCACAAAAGTGAAGATACACAGCATTCACAAACTACAAATACACTGTGTGTGTTTAATAAACTACATTTCTCTAGTTTTATTTGAATTCATTTATAAATTAGACCACAATGCCACTGACTTGTAAGCCCCAGTCATAAAGCTTGGTTTAATTCAGGGATCATTTGAAAGCAAGACAGTTTAAATATATATGTTCTTACTGATAACAGACTAAAATTCATTTTTCAGGACTAAACAAAAGAAAGAGAAAACAATCAACCCATCAAATCCAGGAATTAGATTATTTTCTTTTATTAAGGCTACATTGCTTCAGCTGCTGCTGATGCTACTTAGGTTTGTACATAAGTTGGGGTTTTCTGTCATTTATGCTACTTTAAAGCTGCAATGGCAAATCTGCAAAACAAGCTAATATTTAAATGCAAACACAGACCACTCACCCCTCCCGTCAGCTGTCATCCCAAGGCCACATACCCCTGACACCAGAAGCACATTTCCACAGTGAGCGAGAGAGCTCTAAACACCACTCACAGTTTTCTAGGTTTAAACATCTTTTCCTCTGGTAGTTTGTCCTAAAGATGAAGTGGTAGCAGCCGGCTGTTTCTCCTTCTTTGACCCCAGTGATGTTCTGCGGCAAAATGCACGAGCGCTTAGTGAATGGAGGGCCCAGGTAAATGTGGAGGTGCGGTGATGTGATGCAACAGACCGTTACGTCCCTCCCCAGATGTCGAGGCTTCCTTTGAAGGAGGGAAGGCGATGCAAGTAATGGAGTTTAAAATAATCTGTTTTAAAGAACAGCTCCCTCCTAAAGATCGGCAGTAACTAACATCAAATCTAATGAATAACATCACCCAGCAAAGGGGAGGAGATGAAAACGACTTACGTTTTTAAGATTACTGACTTTAAAAGATCACACAAGGCAAACAAAATGAATATAAGGTAATTCATTAAAGGGGCATTATGGAAGTTTGACAGCCAAAACATGTATAGAAATAATACATTTCTTCTTCATCCATTCTCCTGCAATGCACTGGTCCTGTAGAATGAGCCCTGGCATTTTTACTGTGATTGCCTGTTTTTCTGTAAAATAACAGAAAAAGAGAGCTGCTCGGGTCGAGCAGGCTGCTTCATGCGTGTTCACGCTCAGGCATAGCCCGTAGCATTTGCTATCAGTAGCTTTAGCAGCAGAGAGTGAGGTAGTGCCAACTCAGCGACTTTGTTGCTGTTCCTAACGCCTAGTGATGAACCTAGCTACATTTCTGAGGACCCTTAGCTACTTTCTTCTAGATATTTCCTGCAAATTAGCAACAAAATAGCCATTTTCGCTCCGAACCGTTCTTTGAATGTTGTTTTAGCTGTAATCAAGGATATAAATGTTACAGATACCAAAAGACATCAGTGTTGGTGTAGCTCATCTAGTTAGATGTTGGACTCTCATGCAGGAGACCTGGGTTTGATTCTGGGTGAGGATACAGTTTTTTTAGAGTTTCTTTTTTACATTAATGGTATATTTTTTTTACAGTAAGATGCCCACATTTTTATTTGAGACTCGCCGAACGGCATTGAATTCACAGATAAAAAAGATGAGGCTTCAACTTTCATTTTGGAACAATTTTTCAAGCAAGGGAAAGGAATGATCTGAGCATGCAGGAAGACTGACCCATCTTAAACCATGGTCAGCTGTGCTGAAGAGAAAGGTACAGAACCAAATTATTTAATTAATTAGCTGCGCGTTCTCCTGCCCTCTGTCCTCCGGGCCACACACACACACACACACACACACACACACACACACACACACACACACACACACACACACACACACACACACACACACACACACACACACACACACACACACACACACACACACACACACACACACACACACATACACACACGCACACAAGGGACTGTCAGCTCTCAGAGCTCTGTGCTTCGTCTCAGCTGTTATTTTCGTTAAGGAGTGTGCACGTACAGCATGCGCGCCTCGTGCACGAGCCTCCTATTGAAGCTGCCGTTACACTTTTGGCCAGAGGGGGCAATCGCGAGCATAAAAATTCAAAACTCCGTAAAGTCCCTTTAAGTTTGCCAACTGACAGAGTACCAATAGAAAACGAGCAAAAACTGAGGCTGTTTTTCCAACAAAACTACTCAGCCTAAAACAGCTTGCTACAGCGAGGGTTAACTCACCTCAGTGTAGTTGGTATTCCCTGCCAGCTTCGTGACAGAAAGTGGGTCGTGTGGGGGGTCTTTACTGGAGACAAACATAGCACGAGGTGATTAGTAACCAGTGTGAGGTTATCTGTATGCTACACAGAAACACAGCTCAGCACAAAAATGGTGGTCATGTTGGACATTCTGCTCAGTTTTATGGCTTTTTGTCAGACTCTCGACCAGAAAATGCTGCAGCAGTCAGAAAGCTCCGGAGCAGCCAGTGCCTCCACCCCCTACCAAACAGCTGCAGACAGTCGCAATACCGGCCCGGATCTGCCTGCTTGGAAACACACTGGCTGCAGTGTGGTGTGGATCTACAGAAAGTTTTCACGTGAAGTCAATGTTTTCCAGACACTGCATGCAGATTGTCACGAAGCTGAAGAAATTACATGAGCCAGACAGGAAGTGAGTCGTGAAAAGGCAAGGTGCATCCAGTAAATTCCAACATAAAACCTGTTTGCCGACTTTAGATTCATACAACAAGGACATTAGTTCACAATGTATGACGGCACACGTTATGTTCACAGGAATCGTTTTAAACATATTGTGTCAAATTTCTAATCATTTGGTGATTGTACGGAAGCAGATTTTTGGAGACATTCAGCACATGAACCACAGCTGGTGTAAATGACAGCTCATCTGGACGCCATATGGAAACTAGACTCCATCCGAACTGCAGTTGGTGTGAGAGAAGGTTTAGTCCTGCTGGCACTATACATTAGCGTCAGAATAAAACTTTGTTTCTCCAATCTGAGGCTGTTCAATAGCTATCTACAGCAGTTATGACATGAATTATTTGTAATATGTTCACAGAATCTACCCACAAAAGATTGTTTGCCTTTATTGAGCATTTTCAGCAGTGTTTTGAATTTTTAGTTTTTTTCTGTGACTTGATGTTCTTCCTGTTTCTGTTTGTATGAGATCATTTGCAGCCAGAGAGAGGGGCTGGGTGGAAAGGAGGACAGGAGGGTAGAGCAGAAATCAAATCACTTAATTGCTGCATTTTTCATCTCCATCTTTTGTTTTATGGCAGCTGAGGGCCAGCGAGCAACTCTCGCTGTGATTCATGGACGTCAGGGAGGCCTGTGAGCAGCGCCATCCCTCATCAGCATCCAGCCGCCCGCGTACCCAAAGCACCCACACAATTACAGTGATGAATCTGACTTGTTGTTTGCTTTTCGACTTTTTTCCTCATTTCTTTACGCTGCTACCTTCATCTGGTTTTTGCGGGGCCCGGGTGGTGCTTAAAGCAGTGGTTGGGCTGTCAGAAATAAACAATTCATATTTGAAGTTCCTTCCCTCTGCACGGTCCTCTTATGCGAGCTGAGCCCACTGAGGCTGGGAGAGAGCAGATTCAGACTGATAGGCATGCATGGAAGGAGAGGCAGGGAGATTCAGATAAGGAAGAGATAAATATTGGAAGGAGAGCTGAGGGATGTGTTCATTGATGGTGGAAGGAGATGTCGGGAGTGGAGGATACCAACATGGAAAGAGGGAGTGGAAGGCAAGCGGAAGCAGCAGAGAGGGACAGAAAGTAAGTAGAAGATGGAAGGAGATATAGCATGTCAGAGAGAGACATAGAGGATGAAAAGGAGGTGGATAAGGAAAGCAACGGTGGAGGTCAGATAGAGGAAGCCAGAAAAAGAAGAGCAGCAGCAGAAGGAGAGATAAGGTGAGAAGAGACCATGAAGTGTTGTAGCATGATGTTTGGTATGTGATGTTAGTAATGCAGCTTTTATCTTGTCCTTTGCATAAGTAAGAACTTAAACTTTTTAACAGGAAACAATCCACAATTCATTTATAAACACAACTGTCTCACAAGATTTTAGATAAAGGTGCTCATGGAACAGGTTTCTGCTGTTTTCATACATTTCTGTGTGACGTTATACGAGTCACAAGATTAAAAAGTTTGGACTTCCATACATCATCTGTAAACACTGAAGGAACCATTCCTCCTGTTTATTATCGTTTAAAAGCTAGTCCAGCCATCTATTTACAATATTTACAATCTTCAACATGCTTTTCAAATAAACTAAATCAAAATCTGTGCACATTAGTGTGAAAATATTTAGGTTCTAGCTTACTGAATAAGCTAGAACTGAAACTTTCTTTTGTGACTGTCTAAAACAATACAGAACAGTTAACAGAGTTTATTCCAGCACTGACTGATTTAAATGACATAGTTGTAACGTGAGGAAGTGTGGGTTTTCTGTCACAAAGGTGGTGTTGGACTCAGCTGGGTCAAAGCTGGGTCGTTGAGAACTTTCACCCACAGATTAAGACCTGAACGCCAGCGAGTCTGGGAGGAAACCATAACATCTGCCACCTGCAGCTTCGTGCCAGAAGATGTTGTTCCCACAGAAGATGTTGTTCCCATAAAAGTAGTCATAACATAACAAGTCTTAAAACTTTGTTTCTTGATTTTAATGTTAAAGTAACCATTATCATTTTGCTCATTATAAATGTGTTTAATCAAATGAATGGTTCTTATGCTTTGGGTAATTATAATGGATTAATGAATCCACACTTAAGTAGATAATGTTGAGGATGTTTGTTGCTGACCTTCACACACACTCAAGCACACACACCCACACACAGATTCTCACAGTAAACTCCAAACACATTTGCTGACGCACACGTTTTGCTGATGCTTTTTCTCTGTCATCCATGTTAAAGGCTGACCATCTCTCCAGCATGGGTGTGAATTCTTCAGGCTGTGACCCACCGCTACAGTCAGAGGTCTGCTTTAATCGTCAGTCCGCCTCATGCACAAAACGGCTTCTTTATCGGGGCGTGATGGAAACGTCAGCCGCCGTGAAACACTTGTGGTCTCCGGACGGAGCTACCTTACCATTTGCAGGGTTTGTGCCCGGACATCATGACCTTTATGTGAATGACCTTGTCACTTTTCAGTTTGTGACCTCTGCTGATACGGTGGCCAATTCTTTTCTCCTTTCACAGGGGTGTGACTCTGTCTCTGGCCTCTGTGTTCTATTTCCTGTGATTTCTCTTTCAGGTGACCACGACGGCGCGGGAAAACCTGCGGTTTCCAGCAGTCCAGTGGTCAGTGCCGATGCTGAGGAAGCCTCAGTGGTTGCTGTGCACACCTCTCTCACGGGCTCGGGAAGGCAACCCGGCCCGGGAGGTGTAGGTGGGTGCAGTGATGCCCGGCTCGGGGCCCCGCCTGACAAAGGGGGGGTGCTGAGTGGCACTGAGTTTACCGTTGCGGACTTCAACCTGTTCGGGGGCAGGCCTCCTCCGAGCGGGTGGGTCATTGCAGGAATCGACACTGACCTTCCACCAATTCAGCTGACAACTTTGACCTCCGACCCGGAGATAGGTGGTACACCTTCTAAGGGGCGGAGTTCTAGTCAGTCTGTAACTACTCTGGTTAAACCGGGTTTTTCTGAGTCTGTGTGGGAACCTCCATCATTCTTGGGAATAAAGTATTCTTGGCTTCAGTTTTCAGGACAGACCATGTTCCCAAAGCTAGTGTCATGTCTGTATCTGATTCTAAACATGGCTAGGTTTGCTTTGACACCGGTGACACAACCATCCTTGGATCACTCCTTTTCAGAACCTCCAAGTCCAACACCTCCAGGTCTTTGGACATCTGAACACCTACTCTTTCAGCACGATCCAGGTGACAATGTGCATCTTCTTGGTAATAGGGCTTTTAAGAGCTTAAGAACTGTTCTTTGTTATGCTTCTCCTTTCTCACAGACACGGCATAAGTTTGAGAAACAAAAGGGGGGTGGGGAGCCTCCTCCTGCTTTGCGAGCATCATTTTCGCATTTCCAGTTCGCTACTTTTTCTGATCACAACAAAGTCGCCTCCGTAAAGCTGCAACCCAACTTTGAGCAGGTAAAATCAGGTTCTGATCTAACAGTTAAACCATCAGCTTCACTCGAGTTCTGGACGGAACCCTCAGGTAAATTCAAACAAGTTTCCCTGTGGGTTCGTAACACAAGATACAAACAGTTTGATTACCAAATCGCTTATGAGCCTGCTCCCACAGATACGTCCAAACTCGTGTCTCTGTGGGTCCGCAATACCAGATTCAAAACGCTTACTGAACAGCTCTATTCTGACCAACTCTATTCTGACCGGATTCTTTTCCACTAACTGGTGGACCGTTACAAATTCTCTCGTTTGTGGGATGAATTTTTAACAAATGTGATATCCTTTGAATTTTTTTTTTCAGGTTGCCTGCCTCCAGCCAGGACACCTGCTACTAACTCACATTTTTAGGGATTACTAACCTGCTGATTTACATTTTAGAATTGATTTACATCTCTATCTTTTTATTAGTGCTTTGTGTAGCATGATTATATTTGATTGCAAATTTCATTTTATTTTGTTACTATTTCCCTTAAAGGGCCACAAGCAAGTTTGCCCTTCATTTTCATGATTATTTCTTTATATATATGCCTTTAATTAGTGCAGACTGCTGAGTTTCACATATCAGTTAGGATTTACTTTCTTTTATTTGTGTTTTCTCTGCATCACGTTTTTACATGACATGTAGAACAGGGTGCAGAACATTTCTTCTTTAGATAATTCACAAAAGGCATCCACATTTTCCCAGAGGCACCCATAGATAGGTTTTGATTGATTTCTTTGATTTGCATCAAATGCTATCTATCGTGTGGGCTGTCTCACTTTGTCTCCTTCTCCGAGCTCGTATGGACTACATCCCATCAGAGGGGTCGTCTTCACCATCCTTCAACTGGTTTCCTGTCGCATGGGGCTTCGGTCGTGGTTCGAGATGGGTCGAGGTCTGCGCTGGACTTCACTTGGATTACGCCTGAGGAATACATCACCTGCCCAGCTCCGTGTGACACACTAGCTGCTTATCCTTTGAATACCTTTGCATTATTGCTGATGAAATTAACTGCTATTGGCATAGCTCTGCTTTCAAGATTTCCTAAGGGGATTACTTTACAATGATTGCAACAGTTTTGGCCTTAATCATCTGATCAGGATAGACTCCCTTCTACACGAGACCTGTGGAGACGCTTCATCGTTCCTGCCTTCATCTGGGATGTCTACCTTCACGAGTACATCACGTTATTGAGGTTGTGACGTCAGGTGGCCTCTGCTTGACCACCATGTCGTCACAAAAGGGGGGAATGTAACGTGAGGAAGTGTGGGTTTTCTGTCACAAAGGTGGTGTTGGACTCAGCTGGGTCAAAGCTGGGTCGTTGAGAACACAGATTAAGACCTGAACGCCAGAGAGTCTGGGAGGAAACCATAACATCTGACACCTGCAGCTTCGTGCCAGAAGATGTTGTTCCCACAGAAGATGTTGTTCCCATAAAAGTAGTCATAACATAACAAGTCTTAAAACTTTGTTTCTTGATTTTAATGTTAAAGTAACCATTATCATTTTGCTCATTATAAATGTGTTTAATCAAAAGAATGGTTCTTATGCTTTGGGTAATTATAATGGATTAATGAATCCACACTTAAGTAGATAATGTTGAGGACTGGGACGTAATTTTGGGGGGGGACGGGTGGGACATGTCCCCCCCACTTTTTCAAAAGGCAGTTTTGGTCCCCTGCACTTTTTTCCGTCCAAAAACAATATTACGCTCCATTAAATGGATTTGGTTGAGCACTAGGACCGAAACGGAAACCGGTTTCCTATTAGACCCGCCCAAAAGCTAATCTATTGGCTCTGCTGATACTTGCTAACGTATTATTGGCTGTTGCTGCTGTCACTCCAAATTGTAAACAGTCAGAACGTGCTCACGTTGTTTTGCTAGTTTGGAGCCGCTAGGGAACACCGGTACTGAGTCACATCGTCAACTAGACGCTGTGTAATATCAGAGCTCAGCTCAGCTTCCATTACATAACATTTGAATAAGTGTTCATTTGTGAGTCTTTGGTAGTTAGGCACAGCCAGGAGGCAGCATGTCAAGAAAACGAAAAGTGGATATAAGAGACTTCTTTCAAAGTCAAAACGTAAGTTGGAACATGTGACACCCCTGCATTAAGCTCACTCACCTCCTCCTTCACAAACATACTCAAAACTAACTTTTACAAACTCATCTCCTCCACATAACTGACTCCTCCGACACAATTTATTCGTATTATTATAATTATTTTTTTATTATTATTACTATTATCATCATAATTATTATTACTAGTAGTAGTAGTAGTAGAAGTGTAACTTCAAAACTTTTATCATTTAACTTTATTGTAAACTTATCTATTGCAATGTATATGTTCACATTAAAAAGCTCTGAAAAATGAACAGTATCATCATCATCAACAGATTTTTTTAAGCTTAATGTCAAAGATGTACACTTTTCATTAGATTTATCTTATTTTTTCCATTTATTTTTTGTGTGTTGAAATGCAACAACTGTTTAAACACTTTTAAGGGAAAAAAACATATTTAATATGTTTTTATACACTCAAATGTTAGGGTGATGATCATGTGTAAAACATTAGTTCAGCATGTCCTCTAACACAGCAAATGAACAAACGGCCAGATCTCAGGAGGAACCGTTTATGTATAAATAATTTTTATACTTTTGACTAGGCCTGGGAAAGTAACAAATTTTGCTGGACGATATTTTGTCCAACAAATTGTTGATGATAAACGATATCAATCATTGTCAACATTATCTAGACCAAAATAACCACTAATATAATGTTAATATATCATAATAATGCAAGTACACCCTTTAAAATGCAACAAATAAACCTTCATTTAACATTGAAATGTCCAGAACCAGAACTTCTAAATGAATAAAAATAACAAACAAAAATTAAATAAAAAAGGAATCTCACTCCCTGTTAGAAAATGTTGCACCAAAAACAATAAAAAAAAGACCCAAAACAATAAATACAATGGCCTATCCATTGTCAACAGCCAAAACTGCACTTCAATAATGATAATAGATAAAAATAATAATAGAGTTGTACATTTTTTAACTTTGATATATATATATATATATATATATATATATATATATATATATATATATATATATATATATATTGAGGATGGAAAAATTATTGAGATGGGCACGTGACGTGTCAAGGGGTCTTTACATAACACCCCCCACCCAAAATCCGCACAAGCCTGCTGTGTCCCCCCCACTTCTGAAATCAAAATTTCGTCCCTGGTTGAGGATGTTTGTTGCTGACCTTCACACACACTCAAGCACACACACCCACACACAGATTCTCACAGTAAACTCCAAACACATTTGCTGACGCACACGTTTTGCTTTGAGAGGAGAAAGGCTTTTGGTAAGTTTCAGTCTTATGATTTCAGTTCGTGCTTGACAACGAAAGAGAGAGGACGTGTGAACAACTGCTAACGGGGGAACGGAGCCCATTGGCTCAATCCCCCCCCCCCCCCCCCCCCTCACGCTGTTTCTGCCAAGCCAGACAGGACAGCTGAATCGCAACTTCTAACGCAGACTCATTACCGAGTCTTTTGATTTCTGAGTGAACTTAACTTAAGAAAGCGCATCGACAAAACGCTTTACCATCAACGTGTACCGAGGGCAACTCTGGACCGGTTCCGTTCGACACCTACGTCTCCCCTGTCAGCCGTTGGTGTCATCTGGATGAACCACCACCATCCTCCACGGCCCGGATCCGAAAGAGGGTCCACAAGAGTTCGGTGAGACAGAACATGGTGTTTAGCGTTTGATGCAGTTCTCTGATAAGACCTAATTTTATCCAAACCATCACTTCACTCAGACACCTGTTCTTCCTGAAGCAAAATCTGACTCACACATGCATTCATATCACAACATTCTCAATCTTCATAAATTCACCACAAGGTCTATTTGATCATATCAACTGTTAAAGATTGTCCCACAAGTTGCCAATGTTGATTGTTATTTCCTGTTTGTCAATTTCAAAATCATTAGTTTAATTTGAAGAATTAAAACTTTTAATTGTCAAACTGGTTTCCTCATTGAACTGAAACACAGACACACAGATATTATCGTCAGTTTATCGATGAAAACAACCTTTGAGTCTTCTTAACAATATAAAATGTGGTTATTGATTTATTAAAAATTAATATTCCGAATTAATACGTAGCATGGTTCCTCTTTCATAAAAGAGCCTAAAACCACACCGCTACAATATAACTGAGCCAAGCCAGTTTCTTTTACATAGTCATACTGTATGCACACACACACACGCACGCACGCACACAGGACAAAAGCCGAGCCTCGGATGTCATCACTTTGTTTGTGTGCGTGTTTGTTTGCGTCCCTCACTGTGGGGGACAGCAGACAGTTAGGACCAACTGTGAGGAAAATGTAACTGGAGACAACGCTGGGATTTATGTGTGTGTGTGTGAGATTTCAGAGTTTGTGTGTTTTCTGTAAGCTTGAACAGGTGACAGTCATGACACAAGAACAGGAAACAGGAAGACACTTATACTTATACTTGTTGAGAAATTGAAGGTGATAAAATTTAGGCTTTCAGCATTTAGTTTTTTAATGAAAAAATGGTAAATACACTGTAAAAATCTCCTTTTTTTTACATTTAGTTTATTTCGTTATCAGAATTTCCTTTGGGAGGAACAGGAGAGAATGTTTCAGCTTGTGAATTTTTTTTATTATCAGTCTACTATTATTATTGGCTGATGTTGGCATTAAAATGTAGTATTGGAAAATATCAGTATCGGTTTTTACACAATATACCGACATTTACATACCATTTATTAATTATACATCAAACACACATCACTTCTCTCTTTCAAAATATCAAAATATAACAGATCTGAGGTCTAGTTTTTGTAATATTTCAGTTTGTCACAACTTAAGTACAAATGTGCCCTGTGGGGAATATAAGTTCTCCTCACAGCGTGTAGCTATGTGTGGCTAGCTAGCCAGCTAGCAAACGACTGAAACAAACAGAATAATCTTCCCCCAAGGCTTGCTTTTCCCATCTGAAGATCTGTAGAAATGCTTTAGAACTATAGTTGCAATATACAGAAATAGAAAAGCACGTTACTAACTATTACACACATCTTAGTGTCATTTTTAGCAATTAGCCTAGCTTAGCACGTGTGTACACTGCTTACATTTTGTCAACTAAGTAACTTTAACACAAACATTTCCTAAAGCTATCGATAGATAGATTAAAACTTTAAACATGTTACCCTTTCTAACACTAATTTACTTTTGCTATTCATTAACATATTAATCAAACCTTTTCCCATCCCATCACGAGCTTAATAAATAACTTTGGCCAAAAGGCATCACAGAGTGTAGTGAGGATTATCTCAGGCAGAATGTGAGTCAGCTGCTGTTGGGGACAAATTAAATGTGGCACTTTTCCCATTACTAACTTAAATTGAAGTAGTTGTCATTTTGTACAGATAATGTTTAAAGCTTATGTATGCATAGGATAAATGTTGGTTTATATTGATATTGGAAATTAGGAGTTTGACAATATCGGGATACCGGATATCAGTGAAGGAGCCAATATTGAGCAATTTCCCATTTCAGCAGGGAAAGTTTTTGAGTGGAAGCGGTTCATGTGTAGTATTTGTCGAGTTGCTGCACATCACAGGCTGCAGAACCAAAACTGGTAAATGTGTGATTTCTTTTTATATCTGGACGTGTGGTCTCTCATGCTTAGAAAATCAGCAGACAATTTAAACGTCTTGCTGTGTGAAGCGGGCTTAGACCGCCTTCAGCAGCAATCCCATCTTCTCTGGAACTGTCCTTAAGCTTGATGCTCCCGTGCTCAATTTTCAGCTTTCTAAAATGTTTCAAGCTGCTTGTAAAATTAGAATCATTGGACCAAAATTTGTAGGTTTGGGTCGAGATACCTGCTGCAGGACTTTCTATGAGACGTTTTTATGTTTTACTGGGTAAAGTGTTTCATTCAAAAGCAAATATTTGTCCTCAATCCTAATTCTGTGTTTTAGGCTTCAAAACTATTTGTAAAGCTCCAATTAAATCTTGCAATTTATTGTAAATTGAAAACATTGATTGTCCATTAAGAGCAGTTCACCTTTAAAGAAATAAAACTCAAAGAAAACAAAATTAAAGAAAAAACTAAACAAAAACACACGTTACACAACTGAAACAGTTCTAAATTCCAACAGCCAGGCATCTTGTTTTGTGTGTATTTATGTTGTACTCTGTCCTCAGTCACTCTAATAATAAACAACACTTCCGTGAACAGAAACCTACAAGCTCTTGTGGGTAATTGTTCCGAGGGCCGTTAGTGACGCATGCTGACTAACATAGTGACAGGTCCATATATACGGATTCAACATGTCAGCCGCATGCTTTTATCTTTTCTATCACGTATGTCAACATATTTTCTTTACACAGTATTTATAGTTACATGTACCATGAATTAATAAGGAAGGCTTCAGTGCAGCACTGTGTGTGCATGTTTGTGTCCATGTGTGTGTGTGTGTGTGTGTGCAGCCAGCTTTTAAATATTAATCTCAAGGTCACAGGGAGGGAGCTTTTTGATATTCATGGAGGGTGCAGTACCTTGTGCCGGGTGCTCCTGCCTCTCTCGCTGGATTTCTGGGTCATTATGTCTGCCACTGTTTTTCTCTTTTGTTGCTCACATGCGTTTGGCCCAATCTTGAGTCTGAATGTGAATTCTGACAGACGCAGCACATCTGCAGTCAGTTAAAGCTGCTGCCAGTAGCGTTTTTAGATTTCCATTTTAACACTGAGGCAGTTACATTTTCTCAAATGTTAATGGTGCTTTTTCTAGCAGGTAAATGTAAATGTTTGTTTCTTTGTTTACTTTTACTGAATAAAGGAAAAATGTATATGAAAATGAACAAATAAGAAAAGGTTGTGGTGATGTGCAGGACATACCAGGATGTAAGTGATGAAAGTCTGTTGTGGATTTTCCATCTGCAGAGTTACAGCAGAGTTCAAGCTCCTGACTCGGATCCATCATTCCTAGAGAAGGAGGAAACTGATACTTAACAATGTCATGAAGAACTATTAAGCTGGTTCTTCTCACCAGCTTTTTATTGTGGTTCATGACCAAAGGTGGAGGTTGGACTGTAGCTTTATTGGTAAATTGACAGCTTTGCCCTCTTTTCACTGGATACATCATCCTCATCACTGCAGATACTTCTTCATTCAGCCCAACATCTCCTGCTCTATCACACCCTCACTGGTAAACAAGATCCCATGGTACTTCACCTCCTCCACCTGGATTAGTGGCTTGCACCCAAACTGGAGTTGGCAATCCACCCTGAGGACTATGACATCAGACTTAGTGGTGCTGATCTCCATCCTTCCCACTTGGCTGTGACCCCTTTGATGCAAACTGGAAGTCCCGGGTGGATGAATCCTAGTCACTCTTTCTTTGGCAATTTCACAGTTGTGAAAGAGAAAGAGATAAATGTGTGCAACCTCAGATTTGTGTCAGCAGCTGAACGTAGATGCTGATGTTTCCTAATGATAAGATCTACGGTATTTTTCATGTTGAGGATTCAGATCTTCGGTGCAGAAGTGTATTGCTCCTTTTTTTCTGACACACGTAGCTTGTCTGTCATCACAGGCTAAATAGAATAGGTCCATTCCTAATGTGCTTGTAAAAGTGTTTATTTTTATGAAATGCTAGTAAACCAGCCTCTAAACTGACCATTTATCTACGGACACCAAGCCCTGACATCTGGACTGTGGGCTGTAAGCTCATGCACAAGGCTTTGTTCTGCCTAGCAAAGGAACATATCTGACACTGATTATTGCACTGCTGTGTTTGGCAGCTTTTTATGATGACATGTATTCTCTGTCTATCTGCATTCAAAGCTCAACCAATGTATGCTTTTGAGATTAGCCTGCCAGCAGTCTGTGGACACGTGACTGTCTCTGATGATCTCCATCGCAGCGTTCCCACGCTTTAGTTAAGTCGAGAGCTTCTAGAAGTCCTTGTTATTCACGCTGTTTATCTATCTGGCCTTTTTATCTAGTGTTCTAGAATACATACCGTACATG